AAATGTACTGTATTACTGAATTAAAACATCTTCAAACAAGGTTATAAGAGCTTATTCTGTGTAGATGGAAGGCATTTATACATATTTGAATACGTATAAACACAATATATTCTCGTGACAGCAAATGTACTGTATTACTGAATTAAAACATCTTCAAACAAGGTTATAAGAGCTTATTCTGTGTAGATGGAAGGCATTTATACATATTTGAATACGTATAAACACAATATAATCTCATTTTACTTTTACCATATTAATAGCTCACACAGTGTGAAGTTTAGAAGATAGAATATTTTTTGATTTAATACGCAAACGTTTAAAAGTTGCGTTATAAACAGCTGTGATAACAGAAGAAAGTATAATGATGATTAATATTCATAATTTCATTAAATATCTCTTTCTACACTTTAGTAATAGTTGTGTATTTGTGCAGGCTACCTTTGAAGGCTGGATGGAAGTTATGACGTATGCTATGGACACAACTTCAATAGGTAATCAGCCCTATCATGAGGCCAACATACCAGCATGTCTTTACTTTGTCATCTTCATTGTGTGTGGTTCTTTCTTTACACTCAACCTTTTTATAGGAGTCATCATTGACAATTTTAATCTGCTAAAAAAGAAGGTAATTAGATTACTCAAATACCTGTTAATGTCTCATTCTTAAAATTAATTTTCTGACATTAGTTTCATGTTATGTCTTAAGTTTTACACTTAAAAACATATAATTAAAGATCAAACTTAACATGTTCAAAATAATAGTGGGTCGATTGTTTCACAGACCAACATGTCTTTACTCTGTTGGATATGTTTCTGTTTCACAGGCCAACATGTCTTTATTCTGTCAGATGTTTCCAAAGCCAAAATGTCTTTACTTTATTGGATGTGTTTCTGTTTCCTATGCCAACATGTTTTCACTCTGTCAGATGTGTACAGGCCAACATCTTTACTCTGTGGGATTTGTTTGTTTCAGGTTAACATACCATCATGTCTTTATTCTGTCATGTATATTTTTGTTTCATATAATATTGTTCCAGTATAATATGTTCAAATTGAAAATTACATTTTCAGAATATTAGCATAAAATCTTCAAAACTTGAGGCTAATACAAATCCTAAAATATATTTGTTTATAATTGTTGGAGTCTTGTTTAATCTTTGCTCAAGGCACTAACATCTATTAATGGAGAAGTAGAAAAGATTTGTAAATTATAAAAGTTTAAATTTGTGAAGTTTTTAAAACCTTGACATAATTTTTTAATTGTGTACTGAGAAGTTTGACAGGGTAAAGTAGAAAATAGTCTTTTTTAAATTAAGTTTTCAGGTGATAACTTTTTTTTTTACCTCTTACATTCTTTTTACACAGTATGAAACTGGTGTTTTGGAAATGTTCTTAACAGAGAACCAACGTACTTATTACACGGCAATGAAAAAGCTTGGGCGTAAGAAGCCTCAACGAATCATTCAGAGACCACAAAGGCAGCTGTTGGCTTATTGTTACGATATTTCTATGAGCCGTAGGTGAGTTTCAAATAATTATTGACAAAAGATCGATTATTTCTGGATTTTGTTTTTTAAATAATCATCGTCCTTCACCCTCAAGTCACATCTTACACTGGCCTGATGTTATTCACTTGGTGAATATAGCAATGTTGATGTGCTGTAATAGTATTAAAAGTCTTATTATTATTAGTGATAGTTATTTTTGATAATGTTTCTTTTTAAAAGAAAAATAAAGTTCTTTTCTTTGCAGGTTTGAGCTGCTTGTGTTTCTTCTAATTTTACTGAACATGACAGCTATGGCTTTCGAGCACTACCAGCAGTCACATACAATGACATTAGTCTTGTGGGGACTTAATATCTTATTTACTGCCACCTTCACTTTAGAAGGAATTATAAAAATTCTCGGCCTTGGAAGACATTACTTTACCGTATCATGGAATGTGTTTGATTTTTTTATTGCACTAACATCTGTTATTGGTAAGTACGATTTTTGGTAATGAACTATAAGTTTCACAACTTTCCACATTATTTTGAATGATGGCACTTAGTACTCCAGTTAATTGTGACTGACACTCAACTTATTTAAACAAGAGAAAAGTAAATGTTATGAATTTTTTATTTTTTTCCAGCCTGGCACTGTCCAGAGCAAACACTAACATGATTATGTTTCTCAATCTGTTTAGAAACTTTATTTTTTAATCATAAATGATAGGCATCTGTTTTATAAAAACTAATTTCATAACATTTGGTTAACTAACTTATGAGGTATTATGTTTATCTATCTTTTTGTGTTGAATAAAAGTTGTGTAAGTTATAACAATCAACTCCTTTCTTTGATACCCAATGGGCTATATGTACTATGCCCGCCACAGGTATCGAAACCTAGTTTTTAGCATCATCAGTCCAAAAACTTAACTACAGAACCACTGGGGGTCTTAATGTCAGAGAGGAAATCTTAAAAAAAAAAGAGAGACTTGTGGAGAGTTATGGTGCTGTTGAAAAGTATGACAGGAAATTACAACAAGCTAATCCACAATGAAACGGTTGGATTGTTTTTGCCTAACAACAAACTCTTGACTTTATTTCAGAATTTAGATCTCTCTGTACTGGAAGTTCACCAAACTTTATAGGAATGGTTTCCAATACTGATTTTTTAATAGAAATGTGCCTAGTTTAGTGGCATAAAATATTCTAACGATACACGTTATTCTTACATTTAACAGAAAATCATAAAAATATATTATTCATAATACTTTTCAGGACTAAAATTGAGGTTTTATCCAAATTAAACTTGGAAATAATGCCTAGAATATTCAGTAACATTTCTGACAAACTTTTACATACATTATGTACATCTAACTTAATGACACCACCGATACTAATCTCCATAGTGCTTTTTCCCAAGTTTTGTCTTCTGTAGTTTGCTTCAATATTAAATAAATATCTAGAACCCTGCATTCTGTTGAGTAATCAGGTGAAATTTGTATAACTACAAATATTGTAGTTTCTGTTGTAATATGTTACTTTAAGTATTCTGTTTATTCCAATGTAGTTTGAGCAATTTAAATGCAAGACATAGAAATTATAATTCTGCACTTCAATTTTTCTTATAGGTGTAATTTTTGAAGAAGCTTTGGATTCGTTAGGTTTCAGTCCCACCCTTTTGAGAGTCATCAGGCTCTTTAGGATTGGTCGTGTATTACGGCTAATCAAAGCTGCAGATGGAATTCGTAAACTTCTTTTTGCCCTTGTTATTTCATTGCCTGCTTTAGTCAACATTGGTGCTTTGTTATTACTCATAATGTTTATTTATGCAATCATTGGGATGTCCCTGTTCAGCCACGTAAAGAAGGGTGGTGCTCTGACGGAGTATGTGAACTTTGAAACATTTGCTAAAAGCATGTTGCTGCTGTTGAGACTTACTACTTCGGCAGGCTGGAACGACGTTCTCCATGGTTTGATGGTTGAGCCACCCGACTGTGATATGAACTACAAAAACCTTCCAAATGGGAACTGTGGATACCCCTTGGTGGCCGTGATGTACCTGGTGAGTTACATAATCATTAGCTTTATGATTGTTATTAACATGTACATTGCTGTCCTGTTGGAGAACTTAAATCAGGCAACTCAGGAACAAGAAGTAGGAATTACGGAAGAGGACGTTGAGATGTTTTACGTTTGCTGGGCACGTTACGACCCTCGGGCTACCCAGTTTATTCAACTGGATCAAGTGTTGGACTTTGTTGCAAATCTGGGTCCTCCATTGGGTATTCCTAGACCAAACAGACCAGCATTGGTTGCTATGGATTTGCCCGTTTCTCGGGAAAATAAGGTCCACTGTCTAGATGTGCTCCACGCTCTCACCAAGTTAGTGTTGGGACACGTGGATGACACAGAGGAGTTCCGAAAGTTACAGAGGCAGCTGGATCAGCACTGGTTCCAGAAGACTTTTCCAACTCGTAGGAAGGTAGAGATTGTCACCAGCACCTTGGAAATGAAGAAAAGAGAAAATGCTGCCCGTGTGATTCAGAGAGCTTTCAGACATTCTCGTTTAAAAAAATAATCAGTCTGCATGTATTCTTCCAATCATCAGGAAAGATTAAACTTAACATGATTACAAACACACAGTTAGTTAAGGAATTGCTTCTGTTGACAATAGAAATTTTGTATTTTTAGCATCATTATCAAAATGCACAAGAAATAAAAACAACAAATTTTGCTTAATGAGTCATTTTGCTCAGTCGTGTTGTTCCTTATTTTAAAGATGTATAGTTATTGAACTGTTGTTAAAATATTTTTGAAAGAAACAACACATCCTCACAATAGATAAAGAAGTACAAAATTTATGCCTTATTATTCAAGTATTGCCCAAACATTTTTAACAGCTTGATGGTAAGTTATGGTAACCAAGTGCATGCTCATCATGTCAAAGATTCATAAATATTAATCACCTGTACAAAAATGGTTAAGTTTGTATAATCATTAATATCTTCAGTTAAATTGCACATGTGTAATATTTTTGTCATAAGCCTATTTTTCTGGTTGTTTTATTGTAACAACTACCATTCTTACCAAATTTTGTTTTGTTGTTGTCAGCATATTGATTTTATAAGTGTTTCTATTAAAAAAATTTAATGAATCAAAGCAATTTCATACAACAAGTCTTTATTTGTGGGTTTATACAAACCACACCAGTTCCTCCAAACTGCACAACCAGAGGAAGTTTCTACAGTACCATATTTACTTCCCCTACACTATTCTTTCATTTGATCTCACACTTAGTAATGAGAACCTTAACAACGAGGTTCCAACATGTAATAAATTACTTTCTTTTTTAGTTTCATCTTTACTTATGATTACAATTTAAAATATTTTATTAAAAGTAATTACCTACCAAAACACCCTCTATACAATTATGTTTGAACTGATTTATAAGGCATTTATAATGCACAATATTTCACTTCCTTGGATAGATGTGGGGTTAATAACTACTAGAATTGTTATTTTTTAATGTCAGTATACAATTATAGTTTATAATCTTATTTCTTACACCTAAAGAAACACAGTATGTTGTCTGTGCTTGAGAGGAATAAGATTAGGGGTATGTTTAAACATCAGTTTTCTTAGAGTTAAGTAGAACTTTTTAACCAAAATTACTTTGCTTTTTTCAGTAAACAAAAATTGTTGAAAATCATGATAGTACCCACACATATAAGAAGTGGAAGATATGCTACTTGGAGGACAGGTAGGCAGAGATTATGATGGGTAAAATATAAAAGGAAGACGAGTGAGAGGCAGACAGATTCGATTAAATCCATGGCATTAGAGATGAGAACTTTGGATCAGGAAAGTCGGTGAGAACCCAGTCACCAACCCTCTGAAGAGATTAAAACATCACCCTTGATTGATTATCAAAGATAATATTATTGTGTCAAGTAATTTAAAAACATTACTTTCTGTTGGTCCTTTATCTGTAAAAACCAGTTCTCAGTGTATACAGTTACAACACCCTTTCTGTTGGTCCTTTATCTGTAAAAACCAACCCTCAGT